TGCTAGGGTTTGCTTTTTTTCCGCTACATCGATCCGCTTTCTTACTACTAATCATCCCCCTCTACATCATTCACTTTTAGATACATGATTTCTATAAGTTCTTGAAGGTACATCCGGCATGATGTAAAGTCTATATCAAAGCATTTTAATGTGGTTTTAACAAGTTGCAAGATATTCAAGTTCACAAATAAAACAAAGATTGTAGGTTATCCTTCTATTACATATTGAGTAATTTTGGCTACACATGTGAGGAAAGATACCAAATTGGTTTACCAAACAAAGATTGTAGGTTACCTATTATTCTTTACGTGATTATTTACGAAACTTCATAGTCAAACCTGTATTCTTTTTAATATTTAATATTTATCCACATTTTCTATAAGAATATTATTGGGAGTCATTGTTGTGGTTACAATTCGATTAAATCAGTATTTCCAAGCAAAAAAAACTGTCCCAAATATCTCCTCCGAATATGGTCCGCTAGTTCGAAATTTTAGCGCTTATAAACGTTATTGTTAGACATTACATTAGGGTAACACTATTCATGAGACCAGATGTAGTGATCTATTCAGATAAAGCGAAGAAGGTGCATCTGAATGAGGAGAACTTTGCTGATCAAGAGAAAAGAATATGAAGAGATATCAGCAGCTGACAGAAGAGATAGAAGCCAACGGATGGGCTTGCAAGCTCCAGACAGTAGGAGTGGGAGCTCGAGGCATTTACAACTGCAGCCTCCAAACCTTTATGAACCACCTGAGTGTAAACTAAAGAGAAAAAGGCCTGCATGAAGATCACTGAAATTAGCATGAGGGCATCATACACCATCTATCTGTCCAGAAACACCATTATATGGACAGATGATTGGGCCCATAAAACATGTTTGATACCGCTATGAACCCGTTATAAGCCGGGGACTACCATGGAAGTGATATTGCTGTGTCGCTGAAAGACCCTACTACCATTCAAAGATGTACCTTATCACGCCAAACAGTTATGCTTGTAGGTGAATACTGAATATGCAATTATATAGTTGAACTACTGTATGATACTCCATTCAAAATAGATTTAAGATGACGCTAATGTACACTGTACAACATCCGCATCCACAACGTTTATCTGTAATCAAAAAGTTACGCTTTGATTTCCCGATTCAAAATGTTTAATACTGTCAACCCGAATAATTTGATAATAACTAAAAATGTACCTTTGAAGGTTAGTATTACCTTGGAAATAATTATTTTTACAAACTACCGTTCAAAACTTATAGAACAGTAGTTAGATTGGCTACCCACAATTATATTACAACGTCGTGGCCCGTGGGGTCAGTCGATATTGTTGCTACAAATCAGGAGCAAGCGTCTTGAAACAGGATACCATAAATCTGTATAAGTTTTAAGTAGTTTCATTCTACTTTTAATATTATTATTGGGTCGTTTACGTTTAAATTATATTTGGCCATTTTATAGCCTCCCCCTCAAAAAGCCCACAATTACTCAATATGTAATAGAAGGATAACCTACAATCTTTGTTTTATTTGTGAACTTGAATATCTTGCAACTTGTTAAAACCACATTAAAATGCTTTGATATAGACTTTACATCATGCCGGATGTACCTTCAAGAACTTATAGAAATCATGTATCTAAAAGTGAATGATGTAGAGGGGGATGATTAGTAGTAAGAAAGCGGATCGATGTAGCGGAAAAAAGCAAACCCTAGCAAAGAGTGATTTTATAACCAAATTCAGACAATTGTCTCGCCCATCGCCTGACATTTCAGGGTTTTTAGCCCTTATCAACCATGAACCGGGTGCTTCCGGATTTATACCGAAACCCATATTGGAAGAAAACACCCGATATACAACTGCAAAGCACATTTTAATAACTTGAGCACAAAACTTGTCAAAAAAAGACCAAAGTAGTTGCCCAATTTGGTATTTTTCCTAACACGTGTAGCCAAAATGACTGATTTTTGTCAATATCTTAACAAATAAGCATTAAAGGGCTTATATTGCTTTATAAGTTGTATATAAATATGATGTTTGCGGTCATTTTAAGCTAAAATTCAAGTCTCTACGACCTTCCTAGTTCAAGTTACCAAAATTCAGTGCCATTTTTGGTTCGCTGAGCCAAAAAACAGTTTTTTGTCAATATCTATAAAACGAAGCACTGGAGACCTTATGTTGCTTCATAACTTGTATATAAATGTGGCCATTGCGGTAATTTTAAGCTAAAGTTTAAGTCTCTATGACCTTTAGGAGCTGAAATACAAAAATCCCGTATACGCGACTGAGGGTAATTTAGAAAATTTGCCCTGTAGGGTTATGTCTAGCGACACAAATTGCGTACCTAATCGATTTTGGTTAAGAATGATCTAACAAACAACCCTGTGTTGTCAGAAATCGTGTACATCGAAGTGCACACTCAACTATTCCCTGCTACTGGAGTAAAAGTTGGTTTCATTCAAAAATATTGATATTTGACCAATATAGGGGCCAAAATCGATCAAATTTGGTGAGTATGCCCAAATATGGTCATATGGTTTTTTGCTCATAACTCAGTCATTTTTTGTCCAATCTTGATGGAAATTCATATACGAGTTCAGGGGACCACTAGCTACAAGTAGAGCACCTAAAATCTGGATTTTGGGCATGTTCGGGGTATTTGGCTAAATTGGGCCTATTTTGGACCAAATATGGGCGTGGCTGCCCCGCGGGCACCGTTTGGCGGTTGGGGTCCGGGACCCCCTCAAAAGTTCGGTCACTGGTCTTAGTTTGTTGGTCAACTGCTATCTCGAAACTAAGTTTCACAAAAAAATCAGGGTGAACCCCCCCCCCCCCCCCCCCCCCTTAATAGTTATTGATAGTTATTGGACGTTATCAATGACCTGACGAGAAATTAGACCAACTTCCTTATACGGTCATATCACGTGATCAAGACAGTTGTTCGCCAATATCTTGCCAGGGGAGCATTTAAACCCTATTATATATGTCATGGGGGTGATTCGGAATCAGCATCCAAAAATACACCAAATCAGGTTACTTTCATACCCTCAGGACCTGGCAGGTTACTAATAACATGTTAAAGTTATTGAGACGTTTCAATAAGATACCATGATTAAATGATGATCATCTGATTTCTTAATCATTTTTAGCTGAAGAACGCAATATCCCAAATGGCTAATAATAGGACCAACTGCCAAGATAACAAAAACTTAACAGAAATAGATGCCAAACCTTAATTTCGAACCAACTAAGCTACTGCACCTGTTTACAGGTCACAACATTTTAATCCTATATATAGAGATTATAAGCAAATGAAAAGCCTGGTTTAAATATCACAATACAAGTACGAAACTGTAACTAAATTTATCACAACAATGAATTTAACTTTAAGATAAGGTTTAGGTAAATTACAAAATCTCATTACATAAACAAAGAATATAAACTAATTAGGTTAACTACAGACGTGTTTAATATAAATTCTGAATTGAGTTCAAAATATAATAATATGATACAAGAAGGGTTCACAAAACTGCAACTAAAATTATCACAATATGGGCAATTCTCATAAAAAGCGTCATTTACTCCCTCGAATTTTCAATCTCATATCATTTCATTTCAGTAAATAACAAAACGTTGATTCAAGCACCAATTGATTGATAAACGTTTGAAATTTACTGTGTCATCACTTTTAACATGAATAACTTAAAAACTGATTATCAATTTAAATAATTAATAAAAAAACAGGCTTTTTTCAGGTGTCAGCACTTTGTCCTGTCCGTGACGCCTGATTCTATCCTATGTAGTACCGTTATTTATGGTCCAATTTCAATGGGACAAGAACTAAAATATTCCTCCTTGGCCAATTTATCTATGTGACAAATATGAATTAATTTGTACCTAAAATGTTGTTGCAATTAAATTAATTGTGGAGAATAATTAAAGGTGTCGTCACGTCCGTGACGTCCGTGACGCCTGAAAATGAGTCACGGACGTGACAATGTCTTATTCTGTCACGTCTGTGATGCATCACGGGCGTGACTATGGCTTATTTTGTCGTGTCTGTGACACTTTTTTTAGAGTTTCTAATTGAATTCAAGCATTAGAACTTCCTTGATACCTCAATTAGAGTGTTCCAATTGATTCTATCAGGTATACTAAAACCTCAATAATCATTTGGGAATACAAATTCAAAGATTCAGAACCCCTAACGTGGCAAGTCACAAAGTGCTATGATAACACAATATCTATGGTACAAAAGTGCAAAAAGCTTTTAAAGCGAGGAAAAAACATATAATAGAAACATGGAATGTAACCGGATAGGAAATGGAATTATCACATCAATGTACAATGTAACAACTATAACACTCATTTGTGGAATGTAGGAGGGAGGTGAATGGTGTTCAAGGTTGCCAAAATCGATTAAATTTTGTGTTCAAAGTTACCCAGTGCCGTTAAAAATTACCCCAGGCTGTTCCAAGTTACCCCATGTTCCAAGTTACCCCATCCTACCCTACTGTATACGTGAAAAGTATTTATCAGTATGTATCATATACATAAATTACATACAGTTTTTAGATTTCAGCTACTCTAAAAGTGCATACAGACGGGACAAAATAAGAATTGTCCTGTCCGTGACCAGTCACGGACGTGACTATTCTTATTTTGTCCTGTCCGTAACCCGTCACGGACGTGACAAAAACGTCACGGACGGACACCCAATTTAAACACTGATTGGTCAATTTAGCAGCTAAAAAGTCTGCAAACTGCTGACACTACAATGGTGTCCAATAGAGATCTTTATAAGCTAACGCATGATATAACTTTTATAGAAATTGGAGGAAAAAATTTCTATTAGTGATTTGTGACGCTTTTTATGAGAATTGCCCATATATAACATAATATTATCAGACAGTTGCAGTTGTAGCACTGAAAGTAATATTATCAACAATGTATGTACATGTAAGCTTTACTTCTCGGATTTACTTCTAAAAGATTTAATTCTAAAAAATATCTCGTTCTACATAACAATTAATCTGATATAAACCTAATATAAATAGTTAATCTGACAGCTCTGACCTCACTTACTCATAAATTTCTCCACAACCACCATGCTTACCTCCCACAGCTTCTTCTGTAACTCTTTGCTTACAAAACCGTCCTTTACAGGCTGTATCTTACTATCCTTATAGTACATCCCATTACCTGCACTTACATCAGTTGTAGCACAATGTAGCGTAGTAACAGCTCCTTCATCAGGGGACTTTAGACAGGGTGCAAAACATTTACCAATTATGCATTGAAAACAGCTGCCCATAGAGCGAGCAAGGTTTGTTTTCACTACTCCTGGATGTAGGGACACGCAGGTTAGGTCAGGATATTGCTCTATCAATTCCTTTGCAAACAGCACACGACAAGTGTTGCTTAAACCATACTGTAGTAACCCTGACTTAGCAACTGGTTTGAATATTGCTGGGTTTTCTCCTTCCATCATGTCAAGCGTTATTCTGCCACTTGCGTATGCATCAGAGGCTACAACCACTACTCTACCCTTTACTGAGATCAAGAGGTCTTTTAACAAGTGAGTTAAGAAAAAGTGTCCAAGATAGTTGATCCCAGTAGTTGCCTCGATTCCCTGCTCAGTTTCATTAAATGGGGGAGTAACAACACCAGCGTTATTTACAAGTATGTCTAGTTCTGTGTGAGTTGCTTTGTATTCATCAGCAAACTTTTGAATCCCGGAAAACGATGCGAGATCCACTATTTTGAAGTCAACCTGAATTAAATCAAATATTTAGTAAATTATAATATACAATTACCTTCCCTCAATAGATGAAATTAAAAATGTTACAGTAAAACCCAAATATATATCTCAATGTAAATTTTTTTTAATTATGAAATATCCTGCAGATAAATACAAATAGAGTGACAGGCAATTCAACATTAATTAATTGAGTTAAGCTATCTAAACTTACCTTTTGATTACCAGTAGATTCAATGATCTCATTAACAGCCTCACTGCAAGTTGCTTCATTTCTCCCAATAATGGTCACATTAGCCCCCAACCTAGCAAGCTCCAAGGCAGTAGGTCTTCCTATTCCCACGTTGCCTCCAGTTACTATCACAGACTTCCCCGACAAATCCATTACCATCAGTATTACAGGGACACTATCTTGCTTCCTTAGCACATTTTTGATTAGGCTGTGAATTCCTATAGAATTGTGAAGATTGTTCCTTCGTACAAATTTTTTTAAATAACCCATGATTTAATATTCATTATTATTATTATCGATCTTTACACAAATCTACAGCCCTGCTTGATTGGACTGTCAAAGATTTTGACTGCGCAAACCTTATTTCCCAAACATTATAACTGGCTGGTCACACACATCTCAATTAAAATTACCCTAGGCTACTGTTTTCCAAGTCTTGTCCTGTGAGTAAAGTATGTGTGAGAAAGTTTTAATAAAATGATTGTATATTTACTTTTGAATCTTTAAAATCTAATTTGAGAATGAAGTTTAAAGAAATTTTTAATTAGCACTGTATAGTTTAAGATATTTATAGCTTATTATAACCATTGATACAAAGGCCATAATCTTTCGCCAGCTCTCCAATATCCAACTTTAAGCTGCATTTTATATCCTTGAACTACACAATATAAACTAAAGAATGTTTTAGTGTAGACTTTTTGTCACAACAAGACTGCAACCTATAATAACAACTATAAACAGAACCCCTAATGTCTGCTTACAATTTTTCTTCTAGTCCTAATCTGAGCCTTGTCTCTATAAACTTAACTGAACTAGCGTTTCGGTGTGTGCAAAAGCTTCCAGGCACGTGCATTCCTTGCCCCGTTAGTTACCTGTCCTTCCAAAACCAAACTGAATTGTTTTACATCTTTTTATTCTGTAAAAATGTGCTAAAATTAAATTTCTTGTTTCATTGAAATTTCTTGTTTCATTGAGTTGTTAACAATAAACATCCTTAAGATATTATAAGTCTACAAAGAAGATCGGTAAAAAAATATTAATGGCAATAACTTAAATACTTAAACATATTAATAGTTATTGATAGTTATTGGACATTATCAATGACCTGACGAGAAATTAGACCAACTTCCTTATACGGTCATATCACGTGACCAAGACAGTTTTTCGCCAATATCTTGCCAGGGGAGCATTTTAACCCTATTATATATGTCATGGGGGGTGATTCGGAATCAGCATCCAAAAATACACCAAATCAGGTTACTTTCATACCCTCAGGACCTGGCAGGTTACTAATAACATGTTAAAGTTATTGAGACGTTTCAATAAGATACCATGATTAAATGATGATCATCTGATTTCTTAATCATTTTTAGTTGAAGAACGCAATATCCCGAATGGCTAATAATAGGACCAACTGCCAAGATAACAAAAACTTAACAGAAATAGATGCCAAACCTTAATTTCGAACCAACTGAGCTACTGTACCTATTTACAAGTCAAAACATTTTAATCCTAGAGATTATAAGCAAATGAAAAACATGGGTTTAAATATTACAATACAAGTACGAAACTGTAACTAAATTTATCACAACAATGAATTTAACTTTAAGATAAGGTTTAGGTAAATTACAAAATCTCATTACACAAACAAAGAATATAAACTTATTAGGCTAACTACAGACGTGTTTAATATAAATTCTGAATTGAGTTCAAAATATAATAATACGTATACGATACAAGAGGGGTTAAAAAACTACAAATAAAATTATCACAATATGTAACATAATATTATCAGACAGTTGCAGTTGTACCACTGAAAGTAATATAACAATGTATGTACATGTAAGCTTATCAAGATTTACTTCTAAAGATTTACTTCTAAGATTTGCTTCTAAAAAATATCTGGTTCTACAATAAATCTGATAAAAACCTAATATGAATAGTTAATCTGACAGCGCTGACCTCACTTACTCATAAATTTCTCCACAACCGCCATGCTTACCTCCCACAGCTTCTTCTGCAACTCTTTGCTTACAAAACCATCCTTTACAGGCTGTATCTTACTATCCTTATAGTACATCCCATTACCTGCACTTACATCAGTTGTAGCACAATGTAGCGTAGTAACAGCTCCTTCATCAGGGGACTTTAGACAGGGCGCAAAACATTTACCAATGCATTGAAAACAGCAGCCAACAGAGCGAGCAATGTTTGTTTTCACTGCTCCTGGATGTAAGGACACACAAGTTAGGTCAGGATATTGCTCTATCAATTCCTTTGCAAACAGCACACGACACGTGTTGCTTAAACCATACTGTTGAAACCCTGACTTAGCAACTGGTTTGAATATTGCTGGGTTTTCTCCTTCCATCATGTCAAGCGTTATTCTCCCACTTGCGTATGCATCAGAGGCTACAACCACTACTCTACCCTTTACTGAGATCAAGAGGTCTTTTAACAAGTGAGTTAAGAAAAAGTGTCCAAGATAGTTGATCCCAGTAGTTGCCTCGATTCCCTGCTCAGTTTCTTTAAATGGGGGAGCAACAACACCAGCGTTATTTACAAGTATGTCTAGTTTTGTGTGAGTTGCTTTGTATTCATCAGCAAACTTTTGAATTCCAGAAAACGATGCGAGATCCACTATTTTGAAGTCAACCTAAATTGAATCAAATATTTAGTAACTTGTATACAATTGCCTTCCGTCAATAGATGAAATTAGAAATGTTACAGTAAAATCCAAATACATATCTCAAATGTCAATGTAAATAACAAAAAATTCTGAAATATCCTGCAGATAAATACAAATAGAGTGACAGGCAATTCAACATTAATTAATTGAGTTAAGCTATCTAAACTTACCTTTTGATTACCAGTAGATTCAATGATCTCATTAACAGCCTCACTGCAAGTTGCTTCATTTCTCCCAATAATGGTCACATTAGCCCCCAACCTAGCAAGCTCCAAGGCAGTGGGTCTCCCTATTCCCACGTTGCCTCCAGTTACTATCACAGACTTCTCCGACAAATCCATTATCATCAGTATTACAGGTACACTATCTTGCTTCCCTAGCACATTTTTTGATTAGGCTGTGAATTCCTATAGAAATGTGAAGATTGTTACTTCGTACAAATTATTTAAAATAACCCATGATTTAATATTAATTATTATTATCATTGATCTTTAAACGAATCTGAAGTAATTAATAATAAACATCCTAAATATCTGATAAGTCTACAAAGAAAATCGGTAAAAACATATTAAATGGCAATAACTCAAATACTAAAACAAAAAGTAATAAAACTAGATTCAGGTGATATAAGTTGATAAAGGAAAACAAATTTTAGGAAAACAAATTTAAATTTTGGTATTTATTAATAACAATCAAAACATATCATATCATAAAAATAAAGCCGCGCGTTGGTTGACTGCCTCAGTAAGGTGAATAATTTAAGCTTGAAGGTGCGCATTTACAGAACCTTATGCGGCGATCACATATTCACGAGGACCTGTGAGCGCCAAAATTAATTTAAAGTTTCTAGAAATCATACATCACTACGAGTTACTCATGCTTTTGGATTATAAGAGTGCGGATTGTCAGGTATTTCATCAGTGGCGTAACGAAGGGCCCTGCTGACCCCGCTGTGCAGGGGGGCGCCGTCTTAGGGGGGCGCCAAATCGTTGTTTGAATGTGGGACAATTTCGAAAACTTAACTAAAGTACTAGCAAAACTGCGCGTTTTGCTGTAGAAACACATTTTTTTAGAGATTTTACCGGCGTATCCTCTAAAATCACCTAATTTGTTCAATTTTAGGGAGGGGCACCAAAAGGGGAGGGGGCGCCAACCGGGGGCGCTTTTTCGGCAGGGGGGCGCCAACAGGCAACGTTACGCCACTGTATTTCATTCATTCATACTTAATCGGTTTAAAGCTGTATATTTAGAACTCACTATTGTTTAAACTACGAAAGCAGAACGTAGATAATGGACAATATACCGACGACAATACCAAGGACCCGAGTGCCGCATTGACTTTTCCGGATCCGTTTTTACCGAAGGCTTATCCACCAGTTACTCATACTGCATGTATAGTCTGATAATAACTCTCTCCATGCTTTTCTATCTGTTGCAAAAAGTCTTAAATGGTATAAATCGTCTGTATTTACAAGTCTAAAATTTCTGTCACTTAAATCGTTCAAAATAGTTTTTAACAAGTTTGACTGGTGTCGTCCGACTCTACCTCTCATCAAACTCTGACTCTCTACAGCAAAATGTAAGGCAAGCTGGGCAGGTGAGTTATTATCACTGCGGAGGATGTGACCGAGCATTCTCCACCGTGCACGAGCAACACGCTCACTCAGTGGAACAACTTCGCAGCGTTTGTATATAGTCAGCGTTTGTATAGAGTCACAGTGAAAGCAAACAAAATTAATTGGGGCTCAATGGTTGGTGAAGAGTTGATAGCTGAGAAAGTCCAAGCTGTTTATCAAGAGATGGTGACATGGAGAAAGAATCTTTTCCTAGTTCCCAGAGGTAAATCAGGTAGCGACTTTATGAAAGAACTGACTCGGCTCATCCTCTTATTTGCAGATGCTACCAAGTGGGAAAGGCTATCGTTCGCACTGGTTCATATCTTCTTGCCAATCATGTTGCAAAAACCGTCAAGCAAGTCAAAAGCAAGAGACCATGTAACTTATCTCACCAAGCGTTTGGTTAAATGGAAAAATGGAGAACTTGACGATCTAATGATGGAGTGCAGGAGTATTCAGAAAGCCTTGGTGCAGCAACAAAAAATCAGCGAGGAATCCAGGAAGAAGAGTTTCTGCCGACTAATGCTTCTTGGGAAAGTTAAGCAAGCCACCAAATTTGTTGACAGTTCCAATGACACCTTAGGAGTTCACAGCCTAACAGCAAACATTAAACAGGTCCTTGGGGAGAAACACCCTCCAGCTGTTAAAGCAGATCCAGTTGTTCTGCACCCTCACAGTACTCCTCCACCTCAGGAAGTGATATTTGAGAGGATTGACGCAGAGACTGTCAAGAGGGCTTGTTTATATTTGGATGGATCAGGCGACCCAACACTAACAGACTCAGATTTGTGGAAGCATATCATCTGCAGCAAATCATTTGGCAAAGCATCAGTGACACTTGCTGAGTCTATAGCAATTGTTGCAAGGCGCCTTTGTAGAGAAGATATCCA